GTTGTAAAAATATTCTTAAGAACAATGTTTATTGCTTTTAAATCGCTTTTGTTAAAAAGTAAGAGATTAAATTGGAAAATTATATATCTTACGCTTTGCGGAATGGAAACACGTTGGCGCGGGGAATATAAAAATATTTTATTTTACGCAATGGCAACATAACTTTTAAAGGGCCAAGTCTGTTGATTAAACACTCCAGTTACACTCACTCCTGCTAACTCAGGCCCACCAGCGGCCGAGCGGTAAAGTCGCTAAACATTGGTAGTTCGGTCCAAGGTTCGAATCCCGCGAACCGGCTGGCTGCATGGGTGTTTTCTTGGGTTTCTCCATGTGTAACGTGTATACGAGCCAGTTTCCCTTAGAAAGTCCTCCACGAAGGCATCCCTGCACTTAGGCAGATAGCCCTTGAGGCTTTGCAGTAATTAAATAACCTAACCTAACCCTGCTAACCCATTTCTTCTTGTCTTTTTAGCTTGATTATTAAGCATCATTTTCTTTTCACCTATGCCATATAAAATTCAACAATAAGATCACAAAAATTTCAAAAGCATCATATGTTTCGAATTCCATTGCAGTGTTATGGTTGGGCTATTATTTTTATATAGTCCAAAGGGACTTTGTCCCCGAAGGATTATTGTTTTCGTTTGGCGATTTTGCGTTGAATCACTATAAACGTCCGTTTCACTTTTCAAACTATTGCCACCGAATATTAGACTCCTGCATTATATTTAAAGAAATTAAATAATGAAAAATCGGCCTAAATTTATGTGTATTTCTCAAACTGTGATAAAATAACGGTGCATAGAGCCATCGAATTTTGAATGACGTTATCTTCCTACGAATATGGGCATGTGGAAGACAAATTTGGAATTTGTTTTATGATCGATTTCATATTTTGTAAAACTTTAACGAATTTTTGAGTAACAAACTCCACGATTTAAAAGCGAGCCATGGCAACACGAGGAAGAGGAAAAACCCTTTTATCTCCAGCGCTGCAGAACTGTGTATCGGAAATTCTAAAGATAGGCTTATTTTAAAATTATTTTGCGACATTGCTATTGAACTGAATTTTATGGTTTCAGTGCAAAGAACATGATATTTAATAAATAAAGGTAACACACAAAATATTAAAAAAAAAAAAAAAACGCCCCTTTGGGCGTAATTTAAAATCTGAAACCTTTCAGATTTTTTTCCGCCTTTTTCTGAGTTCATCATATCACTATTCAGTTTTTTTTTTAGTAAGATGCTTGTAAGGTTTATCCTAAGTTTTTGACAGTTATCTTTAGCTAAAGCTGTTTTCCTCTCCTTCCTAATTTCAGCTTACAATTTTCTACCAGAATGTGTTTTTAGACTCGCTTTTAATGCAAATAAGTAAGAGCGGTATTTAAGTCGGACCACCGACTTCGTTAGTGGAACTTCATAGGAGTTCTGACTAGCGCACGTTCGTCCTTTGGCTACGTCTCTCTCTAAGCTGTTACTACGCGCGGCCGTATTTCAGGCCCTTGATAGCTTGCTAGCTTATTCGATTCTTAGCGGCCAACTATTTAGAATCCTGAGAGCCTCAGCTATATCTTTTTAGTTAAGCATTAGTTAAGTTTTATTTCTTATTACTTTCCAAGTGGATTTATTATTTTATTCCAAGTGGAGGCTTTACTGTACGCCCTAAGAAAGGAGCCGACTGTTCAATTCTTTTTTTGAGAAATAAAGGGTAATTCACGCTTCTTGAGTTTACGTCTCTGTTCCCGAACTCAAGCGATTATTCGCTTATCTGTTCGAGGTTTCTACACATTTAGCTGTTAAATAACAAGGGAACCCCACATGCCTAACAAAAAATTTTCGTTGTCTTTTTATTACTAACTTTTCATGTATTAACTTTTACTTATTAAATATCACATTCTTCGTACTTACGCTACATATTCTGTTCAACGGCAAAATTATATAGTATTTAAAAAATGCATATCATTAGAATTCTCGGCAGACTGTTAGAGGTTGCTATACAGAGTTTTACATTCGCTATATTGCTTCTTCAAAAGGCTAGCGGGTCACGCGACCAGGCACGCTGCCGCGTGGAAGGCAAATGTTATTTTATTTCAGGCGGGGTAACACATTGCTTTCATACGGCGGAGTTTTTTAATTAAAATTGAAAGATAAATTTCTTACATTTTTCCAAATGGCAACAGTCTCACGCTGAAGATAAAACATGTGTTATTTCCAACAGACAAGCGACTTCTCGCTTTCAAATCGTTGAGTTTGTTAATCAAAAATTCTTTAATGTTTTACAAAATTTGATCTAAATAATAAAACAAATTCGAAATTTAAAATTTGGGTTATTTATTCAAAATTTTCAAAAATAAGTTATTCAAAAGTTGATGGCTCTACGTATTGTCATTTTTCACAATGACATAATTTATTCTTCGTTATTTATTCTTCATTTTTATTTATTCGGCATTACAGATTCTTCATTATTTATTTATTTTTTAATTACATATGGTGTTGACACACATGTGCACTAAAAATTTTGTTTTCCTGCTGTTTGGTCGAATGTCTTGTTTTGGCGTAGAAAATCTGATTTTAATTATAATTTTTTTAAACCCTTTTTAACTGTATTTGATGTATTAGGTTTTTCTGTATTTTTCAATTTAATATAAAGATGTTTTGTGTTTATATATATATCTGCCTTGCTGCGAAGTGAGAGCTGAATTAATTGAATGGAAAATGTATCCCTAATACAATTGGAGGAAATAAGTTTAAATGAAGTGCAGCAAAAAATATATGCAATTTAATAGACTGTACAAAGAAGTCATGTGGTGTACACATCAGATATTTTTCATCTTACTTTTACAGCTGGTTGATAATCAATTGAAATAAAACAATTGCTTTCGATCATCGGAGAAAATTAGAAAAATAATTACTATTAGCAATAATTAAGTTAACCTTAAAATTTAAAGATGTGCAAAACAAATTATATATATCTTGAAAAATTGATTTTGATCGAAGGCTTGGCCATTTTACTTTAGAACAAACATAACTTACAACTGCAAACCGCCAATGAATTTCATTTAAATATTCACTTGCTACATTTATTATGGGACAGAGGAAGTGTTAAAAAAACGCAAAATCTATATCTATGCATACAGGGGCGGATGGGGCTGGTTTGACCGGAGTGCAAGATTTGTAAAAGACGCTTGCACATCTTTGCACATTGGTCAATGTACGCTAAGACACGGAGATGACAAGTACCCTTATGAAACTGCGTTTATAAAATGAAACATCTGTACTGAACAGCAGGAAAAATAACATGTGTTTCTTGTTGTTGCTATGATTTACCTTACTTATCTGACAGCAAGATCGGAACAAGCTCACGAAATTCATCGCGGCAAGAAGTGAAAGATTGTGCCTTTTATTGGCACCATACAGCTGATGGTACGACTTTGCTCAGTTCTGCCCCCAATTCTGATAGAGAGCTATCCGGGGGGGGGACGGGTCCGACCATCTCCCATCTCTCTTTCCTACCACTACCCTCTCGAGAAGCCTTTCGGCTCGCCGCATATTTAGAGCGCCCCCATGCCGCGCAGACACTATACTTTTAAAAACATCCATGCTTTCTTCGGGATTCGAGCCCGAACTTTTTGGTACGCCAGTGAGAGTCACTAGCCACAATTCCGTTTGGGTGGCGACATATTAAAATTTCATATTTATAACATGAAAAATGTAATCTTTAGCATGATCCCTGAGTGCTATGTACAGATCTTTATATTACAGAATAGTAGCCGACTTGCATAAAGGCGCTGGATTCTGAGAAATTGTCCAGGCGATGGGAAACAAAAATTCCTCGCATTTAAGTTATGTACTAAAAAATTAAATGGAACTGTTATGCATTTTCGACGAGCTAACGACGACGGGATTAAAACGACAAGTTTAAAATGCTTACCATTTGCATAGTAGAAGTTTAACACATTTGAATTTTCTTTTCTGAAAAGTGCCAGTAAATCATTTTCTTCAATCAGTTTTCTTTTCGTTGTTTTTATTGTTGCATAATTCTCATTAATTCTTATTTATTTTTAAACCATCGATATCAGGTACCAAGGCGGACTTGTAGCCACCGGCGCTTAGACAAATTTCCGGAATTCCCGATAACCCAGTAAGTATTTATGTATGTCTAGCATTTTAAAAACATGACGGCACCCAATATCAATAAATTTTGAACTCACGTGGTCCTCCACCAGAACGTGTGCATCTCAAATTTTGAATTCCCAGTTTTTTTTTACCTATTTTATGTTTTGTATGATCTTAATAAATTACTGATTAACAAAGTCAGTGATTTAAAAGCAATGGTAAAGCGGAAGAAATTTATATTACTCATTTAATTGAAAAACTGAGCGATTAAAAAAAAAAAAAAATACACGTTGTCACTCCTAGAATGTAAGATGCTTGTGTTTCGAATTTAATCAACGAACTCGGAGATTTAACAGAAATATATTGCCACTGCCCAAAATAAAACAATTTTTATCTTCCACGCGTCATGATGCTGCCTGCCATTCGTCAAAGCGTAAGAAACTTAATTTTTTTTTCAAATTTAATGTCCGTTATTCATTAGCTAATTAAGCAATTCAAAAGCAATAAACAAAATTCTTTATTATTAATTACTAGCTAGCGATGAAATTGCACCAGGTGCAATCATTAAAATTATTTTTCTTTTTATTACAATTATTTTAGGCAGCTTCCCGCGCAAGGGCCTAGTAAGAGATAATTATTCAATTTACTTCATATATTTTTCAATATACCTATGTAATTGTTCGAATTCCGTGCCTTAAATAAAGAAAGAAAAAGAAAAAACAAAGAAAAGAGAAAGAGAAGTGACGACAAAATTTAAAGCCCCCGCTCAAGGTATGAGGCAAGCGTTGTTAAGACATATGTCCCCCCCCCCCAAACCGGTTTCGAACTTCTTTTCACCGCCAGTTATAGAGGCCACGTCTTGCGTAGAGAGGCGGCTTCGTATTCAGCCCAAGTACCAGCACAACTACCTGTGGGTGACCGCCTAGAAATTCTCGAACTCTTGCCATTCAGGGTCTGATTCTTCCATAAAATCATGTAGCCAACAACTTGACGTTTTAAGAGATTCTTTCGAACGTACACCAGTTTATGGATTAACTCAGGTTTAAAGAATTTGTTCGTCTTCGAGATGGAAATCTGCAAATAGGTAAGTGTTTATTTCTGGAACAGAGTTTAACAGTTTTTAAACAGTTGTCTTTGGCTGTAAGCCGTTCTCTAGCTGAATCGTTTGGTTCAAAGAAATAGTACTTTAACGGGCATTTAGACTGTGGAATTTAATGTTTAATGAGAATTTCAAAGTTTTAATAGAGTAGTATGTAAGAAGCTTCCTTTTAAATTGTTGTTTACTTTCTCGCAAGCAAAGTATTTACATTCTAATTCTTATTATACTGACAATAGTACATTATTGCTATTATACTGATAGATAATACAGTAACGTAAACAAAGTATTTACATTTCTCGTTATTATTCTTATTAATTACTGTTACTTTCTGGTAAACAACGTATTTATTTCTGGCAACGCTGTCATCACAATGACAGTGTTATTTTTGTATTTACATATCTATATTTACTATGAAATTGTTTACGAATAAAACAAATTTATGTTGCGTTTATTAATAGATTACAAAATAGCTTATCATAAAATGACTACCATACATTTTATTTATTATTCTTTTACAAAATAGTAACACAGCAACGAGTACTTATTAAATAATTCATTAAAGTGTAAAAGACATTTTACATATTGTATAAATCCCCAATGATTGAATATATTTTTACATTTATAATTTTGCTATTATTGTTTTTATGCGGTCTTAGGTACGAGTTATAAATTACGTATGTAAAGTACAATGAGGTATACTTAAAAATTAATTTGAGCACTGAAAATTTAATCCTTGTACAATTTTATCAAATAAAGTTCTTTTTTATTACATCACCAATGTAAAATATAGATATCTATTATATTAGTTTACCAATATATATATATATATATCTATATATATTATAATCTTTGGTTACTGCTGCACCCTGCCCGAAAGTTGCTAAATAACGCCTTACGGCTTGCCTTTCAAAGCTATTTTTGTGATATTTTTCCTAACCCTTTAAATGGTTCGGCCATTTTTGGCTTTGGTGACCTTTGTTAAGCCCTTGTTTTCTAACATTTTGAAGCAGATTATAATATAATATTTAAAAACATTCAATAAAATATGAATATCATTACATAAGGAATCACAGTTGCTGTGTTTTGATATTTGATTTTTTGGTTATTTTTCTCTTAAGGCATCCATCCGACTACGTTCAAATTGTCAACCTTGATTAAACATTTCAGAAAATATTTATTACTTTATTTTAAAGCCCATACATTAAGCTTCGCAAAACTACTTTTATTTTGTCTTTCCGATCATTAGAAGCAGAATTATGACTTGATCAATGCCATTAACCGGAAGTTCCTGGTTAAGAACTCTAAAGTAAAGCTGATGTCTAAAAGTACACAGACTACTCTAAATAGCTTTAATATGAGAATTTTTTTATTTGAACACTTTGGTTATGTTCAAAAAGATTATGCTGAACCTTTTAGCCCAAAGAGGCAATTTGTCATGAAGGACTATTAATTTCGTTTTGGCATTTGCGTTGACCTATAAACGGCGAATCACTTTTCAAATTGTTGCCACCAAATATTATCGCCCTGCATTATATTTAAAGAAATTAAATAATAAAGAATCTGCATGAATGTATGGATGATTCTCGCATTCTGATAAAACAACAGTACCTAGACACATCTAATTTTGAATAATGTACATCTCCACCCGAATATGGGCATCTGGAAGCCCAAATTTGGAATTTGTTTTATTATGTATTTTATATTTCGTAAAACTTTAACGAATTTTCGATGAACAAACTAAAGGATTTCAAAACAAGCAATAGCACCACTGTACGGAATTTAAAAATATATATATATATAAAATTTATGTTCTAAACAAAAATATAACTTACCAGTAGGATGCACACTTTTAAAATAATTCTACTTAATTAAACTTAGTAGATAATATATCAATTAATCAATATGTTTAGGAAATAAATATTATTAACTAACTTTGCAGCAATGCGCAAGTAATAATAACTTGTATTCGCACTAAATGGATTTAGTTCATACAACATTATATATAGATATATATATATTATATATATATATATATATTCGAGGGGAATCTTTCATAGAATATGGGTGAGGAAGCCCTAATTTTAATTGAATTTGTTTTAAATATCGATTTCATATTTCGTAATACTTCAACGAATTTTTGATTAAAAAACTGAACGATTTCAAAGCGGGCAATAGCAACACTGTACGAAAATAAATAAATAAATAAATAAATAACGATTTCAAAGCGGGCAATAGCAACACTGTACGAAATAAATAAATAAATAAATAAAAACTATCTCCAGCGCGCGAGACTCTGTATCGGAAATTCTAAAGATAGGCTCATTTTAAAATTATTTTGCGATATTGATGTTAAACTGAATTTTATGGTTTCAGTACGCAGAACATTATATTCAATAAGTAAAGGTAACACACAAAAAGTTAAAAGAAAGCCCCACTTCTTTGGACGTAATTTAAAATCTAGAACTTTTTTTTTTTTTTTTCCGTTGCTGTTGTTCAGTGCTCCGGAACAAGATTACTTTTGCAATTTAATTTTCATGTTTGGCAACAATTTCTTTTCCTTCTGTTTGTGTTTGAATTGCAAACATAATTTTTGAAAAACTTGATGATTTTTTTCAACTTTTCTGTTACGAAAAAACTTAAAATATTACTACAGTAATTTTTTGAAACTTTCCACAAATATTCCACGAAATATTGTGAATTAAATGGAATAAATAGTTTAGGTTTATGTACATATCTAAAATTTTAATAAAATAATTTATTCAAACTTATCGTTAACCCACATACAGTGTCTCAAAAAAGTGATGGGACACTTGTGCTTTACAAAAGGAAACTGCAATAAAATAAATTTAAAAAACATGTAAAATTTTTTGTGGGTGTGTTTCATACTTAAATTTAGTAACCAATTTTACATAACATTACATTTTCTCAAAATATTAAAATTTAATTTAATAAAATACAATTGTTTAAAACGGAGCAGAAAATGACTCACTTAAGTGATGGGACACTACGTACTATGCAACAAAAGTCGTCTGAAGTAAGCAATAAAAAATATCTTTTGGGGTATTTTATTTTTACTCAAAAGCAATTGCCAATAATTTATAAATTCGTCTGCAGTATTTCTCTCCAGTTTGTTTTGGAATTTTTTGTTTTTTTAGCTCTGTGCAAAAAAATGCTAAACGAAAAGAAACTTTGCCTGGAATTCGAAAATTAGTTATTTTGCATATTGAACGTGGAAAAATCTATTAGAGAAACTACTGAAACATTTAACTTCAGTCATTCAACAGTTTTTTCAATATCATTAAACGATATAAAATAATCATATGATTCAGGATAAAAGAAGACCTGGCCGACCATCAAAGCTATCCAATGGAATAAAGCGAATTATCGTTCGAAATATTTAAAAAAAATCCAAGAATGAGTGCTCCTAAAGTTGCTGCTGATTACAAGCATTATATGGAGTAATTGTTAATTCTGAGACTATTAGAAGAGTAATTCTATCTACTGGATATCACGGTAGAGCAGCCAGGAAAAAAATTCTTCGTGAGTGAAAAGAATAGAAAACTCAGACTGGCTTTCGCAAATCCAACATAAATAAGAATTCTGATTACTGGAATGAAGTTATATTTGCTGATGAGAGTAAAATTTAATATATTGGTTCTGACGGTAGCATCTTGGTGTGGAGAAAACCCAGGGAAGATTTCACAAACAGAACTTGGTGCCAACAGTAAAAAATGGTGGAGGAGGAGGAGTTATGGTATGGGGGGTGTATGTCGTTCGCGGAGTTGGTAATCTTGTTTTTATTGACAGTATAATGGATCAGTACAAGTATTGACATTTTAAATCAAAATTGAAATCTTCAGCACGAAAATTGAACCTTCATAACGATTTTAAATTTACCAGGACAATGACCCCAAGCACAGTGCTTTGAACGTTAGACTCGGCTGTTGTATAACTGTCCTGAAATAATAAAAACACCCTCACAATCCCACAATTAAATCCCATAGAGAATATTTGGCAAGAATTGGAATAATGAATTCGCAACACACCATTTCTTCAAAACAACAATTAAAATCGGTGCTTCAAGAGAATGGGGTAAAAATCCTACTCCAGAATTCACAAATATTTAGCCGAATCCATCCCAAGAAGATTAAATCATGTTTTAAAAGTAAAAGGAAATCCAACAAAATATTAACAACCTTTTAAAAAGTAAAATTTTTGGATAAATATTTGATGGAAAAGTAAGTGTCCCATCACGTAAGTGAGCCATTTTTGCTCCGTTTTAAACAATTGTCTTTTTCATTAATTAATTATTTTAATATTTGAGAAAATGTATGTTATGTAATAATTGTTACTAAATTTAAGTATGAACACACCCACAAAAAATTTTGCATGTTTTTTAAATTTATTTTATTGCAGTTTCCTTTTGTAAAGCACAAGTGTCCCATCACTTTTTTGAGACACTGTAATTATGTGGACATTCGAAACTTTTCTTGAGAATCTGGCAAATCGTGTTTCTTGCCATTAGAGTTAAATCCGGAAAACGTATTGCTTAGTGTTAAGCACGAGATGGAGACGTAATGGTTTGGAGATGTTTCGCTGCCTGTATGATGGAGAATCTAGTCTTTCCAGGAAAAAATATAGATCAGTGTAAATATGTAAATATTCTTTATGAAATTATGAAAGTTTTTGCATGGAAACTTAGAACGCAAAATACATTCAAGTTCTATCAGGATAGACATGCTAAATATTCGTTTGTGAGTATTAACAACTTGAAGTTATCAAAACTCTTCCAGATTTATGTCCCATCAGATATGTATGGAAAGAGTTACTGAAAAGGATAAAGAAACATGTTTTTTTCTTCAGAAGCTCTAGTAAAAGCAATTCTTATGGAGGAATGGGGAAAAAATGAAACATTCTTACACGAAAACATCTGTTGAACTTATGACAGACTGAATGAAAAGCATAAGTTTTGTTAAAGAATATTC